GCAGGTGTGCTGGGTATCTTCCCTTTGTCCTTGCACATCTACTCTCTACCTTTTCCCACTCTGGTATCTCTCCCAGAAATCTGTCCTTCATGAACTCCGTCAAAGGGTGCTCTTGCCCCCTGACTTCTGATTGGACTACTCCAATAGGGATCCTCAGAAAGAAATTTTTCGGGTTAGGGAATCTATTCTCCTTGGCACCTTACTTGTTGGTTTGCTGCAGACTATCTTATCCCTGCATTAAAAGCAACTCTCGTTAAAAACCTCTCTCTTATTGGTTTCTCCTCATTACTGTCTTCCTCCATCCTTTGGGTCTTCCCTGTTTTTTGTGGCTCCCTGGACTCTGCTCACAGCTTTGTTAATTTTATTAAAGCTTCTTTACATAATCTTATTTCGTAAAACGCCATCTGTTTCTTGCTGGGGCTCTCACTGATGCAGTATGTCAGAGAGAACCATACAACCAAAAACATGTAAGAAAACTATGGGTGAAAGAAGAGGTGATATATGGTAAAGAATGCAGGTGGGGCTCACAACTTGGAAGCAGCAGACAAAATGGAAAATGGAAGTGAGTAGAAACAGAGGTGTCACATGAAAATTCATATTGGGGAAGAGTTCAGACTATTTCTCGCCTCCTCAAACAGGATTCCAGCGGGCAGGCTGCTACTATGCATGTAAGAAAATATATGAGAGCAAAATATAAACTTTTTTTTCCAGGTAAGTACCCATAAGATTTATTTCACATGTACCTGTTCTAAGTAAGGTACTCTAAGGTGTGCTCCAGCAAAATGAGAGAAGAAGAAATAAACAAATAATAATCAAAGAAGATATGGGATCTGTATAAGAGGGAGAAGAGTAAAAAGATGTCCCAGGATGACATCTTTGCCTCCGGTTGGAAAGCATCTGGTTCAGAGTGGAGTAGGAGAATGGAAGTCTCCAAGAAATAAGAATTGTTTCCATGCTCTTTCAGCCTTACTTAGAAGCTTCATATGTGTTCCTATTTTAAAACAAATAAAAATTGACAACTATATGTTAAGATACTGATTTGTCATGATTGTGACAAATTATTTTCCCAGTGTATCGTGGACAATTAATGCTTTCATTATTATCTTGATGTGGCATAGAAGTTTGAAGTTTATATTTAGTTAAACACTTGAAATACTTCCTTATGACTTCTTCTATCATATTTCTACATGAAAAGTTTTACTGGTATAAGGTCTAGTCAAATATGTAACTATTGCTGCAATTATTAGGCTCCTTTCCCAAAGCTTCTCTCAACCCATTGCTGAGGCCTTGTTCCTGCTTCTGGTCTGTCAGATGGACAGAATGGTACCACCATGAAAGTTTCAACTGACACCAATGTTGAAGTGTGATGAACTGATTGAAACCAAGAGTTTCAGCTCTCAGACACAGAGCAACTATTCTGGTCATCTATTGCTACAGAGCGAACCAGCCACATAACTCGGTGGCTTAATGTAGCAACTTAGCATTATCTCTCATGGTTCTGGAGGCCGGGAGGCTCAGCGGTGTATTTCTCATTTGGTATTTCTCATACAATTACAGTGGGGTTGCAGATGGGGCTGGAGTCATAGGCAGGCTTCTTCACACACACGTCTGGAGTCTGAGCTAGCGTGGCTAGCACAGCTGGGACCTGGTGCAGCTCTCTATATATAGCCCCTCCACATGTCTAGCATGATGGTCTCAGGGCTCCAAGAAAGAATGTTCCAAGGAAGTGGAAGCTGCCAATATTGAAGGAGTTGGCCTGGAAATTGGCCTAGTGGCCTGTTGACAATATCCTATTGGTCGTAGCAGTCACGGATCTCACCCAGATTCAGAGTGGGAGGTGTTTCACTACAACTGGATTTGCACTGATTCCATCAAAAACTAGGACAATATGCAAGTGAATCCTTACTCATCATGTGGAGCGTATGTTGGGGAAAGGCAAGAGGCTGACAGTTCCTGATGAGGTTAAGTATTTGTATTTCAATTTGAAAATATCACCTAAGAAACCAGTGTCTTGGTGGATAAATGACCAAAATCTGAAGAAATTATATTTGAACCTTTGAATTATGAACACAACAGACATTTATATAAGTCTATACTTAGTTGGTTGAGTGGCCTATTCTTGGTTTTGGCTCAAGTCATGACTTCATAGTTTGTGGGTTCGAGCCCTGCATGAGACTCCATGCTGAAGGTGCAGGGTCTGCTTCAGATTTTCTCTCCCTCTCTCTGTGCCCCTCTCCTGCTCATGCTGTCTCTGTTTCTCTCAAAATAAATAAATAAACTTAAAAAATAAGTCTATATGGAAGCTTTAATGCAAAATCTGACTTCTAGAGTCTATTAGCTTTTAACAAGGTTAATTTAACAAGGTTAGTTTTCAGGGGCACCTGGGTGGTTCAGTTAGGTGTCCAACTTCAGCTCAGGTCATGATCTCCCAGTTCATGAGTTTGAGCCCCACATCAGGCTCTCCACTGTCAGCACAGAGCCTGCTTCGGATCCTCTGTCTTCTCTCTCTGTCCCTCACCTATTTGTTCTCCCTCTCTAGCAAAATAAATAAACTAAACAAAAAAAAGGTTAATTTTCAGAAATGCAATTCTGGCTGATGGATGGTGGAAGAAATAAAATTTAGTGCTTGATTTGAACAGGGTCACTTATTAAATAATCCCACAGAAACAAACAAAAAAACCCAACAACCAGTATTCTTGAATTATATTCCAACCAGTATAAGGAAACCTCCTACAATCACAACCAAGCAGATAGTGTACATATGAGAAAACTGAGGAATGCCTATCATGCTGACCCACAGTATTCAATCTCTCCAATAGACACAAAAAATGTAAAGTTATGAAATAAGCTGTGGAAGAAGAGATCCTCTGAATCATTGGCAGTAGTTGAAAGAATTTGTCGACTGGCAATTAGCAGGGAAGCTCCAACCTCCTCACTGCCTAGCAGTTCATGTAATCTAAGAATCACCTTGGCCCCTGCGAGCTAACCGTACCACTGAGAAGGTGATGGCTCACAATAACTTTGACATCACACCTGGAGCATGTCCCTATTGCCAGCCCTCTACTCCAAATTTCTATGTGCGTCTAAATAATTTGGAGATCCTGGTAAAACATGGACTCTTAGTTGATCTGGGTTCAGCACAGAGATTCTGCATTTCTAACAAGCTCCCAGGCGATGCTGATAGGGCCAGTTGGTGGACCAGCCTTTGAATAGCAGGACTCAGCCAACATATCATTTTAGTGAACTGTTATGACTGTAAATAAACTTGAGACTGAAGTTTTTATGATTCAAAGGCCAGTGAAGTGAGACAGCAAGTCTCATTATGGAAATTAAATAAATTACATATAAAGCTCAAGACTTCTAAAGCTGATAGAGACCTTACAAATTGTTTAATAAATTAACTGAAATTAAGGAAGATGACCCAATCAGTAATAAGTCACAGCTGTGCAACGTGTGCTAGTCTGTCTCTGGTGACCATAAGATGGCTACAAACCTCGAGAAGGGATTATCAAATTGTATGAGAAGATCAAAGGTCTGATGACATCCACAACAATTTTCCACAAAGCTCATCATAAATGTAGTGACAAAAATGTAGAATCACTACAATGATAGGTTTATAACATTATGGCATATTCCACTGTGATTACAAAGAGCTCACTTGTGTCATTATTATGATAAAGATCTCACTTAAGAAAAGAAATATCACATACCCACTTTCTTGTTTTGGCAAGCCACCCATACTGCTCTCTATTACAGAAGAAAATTTAGCATGAGATAACAAGTCTCCACCCAGCCATGCACATCTGTCAGATCTTTCTCATACACACCCTTTGTGGTGGGTTGAGTGTAACATAGCCTCAGGCTCTATCACTCTGCCCTTAATTAGGTGGGAGAATTGACTAACACATAAGAGATAGTGTAGCATCTAATATTAAGGTGTGTGTGTGTGTGTGTGTGTGTGTGTGTGCGCGTGCACACCGTGTGCGCACGCTGGCATACCTATCTATGTATTTATTTGTATCTTTCTAGATGTCTGGATAAACAAAACCTTTTTTAAGAAGTCTCTGGAATTTGAATTAGATCAGAATAAGTCAAGAGAAGTGAATGGGAGACTTTTCGGGACTGGCTTAGGGGAAAGGGATTTTTTTTTCAGAGAATTTTTATAGGAGAATCAATCGGTCATTTGGTTGAGTCTGTTTTCCCAGAAGGGGCCTGGAGAAATAAAGCTCTAGCTACTCAAGTCTCTCCAGAATGATCCTTAGCTTTGGTTAAAAAAGCTGCAGTGTCTGCTACTTATCTATAGGGATAAGTTGATCTAGGAATCAAGTGTGGTTTAAGAGAGTGTCTAGAATCCAGTGACAGAAGGCTGTGTGTACAGTGGCTATGAGAAGACACGGAAGTTCTATGAACTTCACAGTATTCATTATTCATATAAAATGGGGATACATGACCAATTGACCATGGGGTATGGCTCACACTGATCATTTAATGAAAGTGTTTGAATACTTAAAGTCATGACAGACTGTCAAAAAACTAACCTGGTTACTAAGTCAGCTGTGCTGGGTTTTCTTCTCACTGGCTCTCCGCAACCTCAGTGTCTGAGAAAAAAACCCATGACTTGTTCTATGAGTGCAATGCTTGGGATAAGTGGGATTAATGTGGGGTTATTACTTTATGTTTGGAAATTTCCATACAATGGACGCCTTATCACTTCTACTACACAAGTGACTTACTCTCCCGAATGGGGAAGTCATTTGTGCCATCGCTGTTCTGGATGAAGGCAGAGTCCTCAACTGTGAAACTTGCTCCTCTAAGATGCCAAGCTATTCTTGGTCACAGGCAGGAAAACAGGAAAACACTGAGGTATTGAAATGTTCTGGAAAGTGTTCCCTTGACCTAGGGAATTAGCTTCTGCCATGTGGAAGATGACCAGGAATTAGAAGGTAGCGATAAATCCAGACGGAAGATGATATGCCAGAGATTAATGTCCACGTACGTACATTTATAGCACTCTTTGACTTTCCTTGACTACAGTTATCCTCTCTTCCAATGCTTTCCTAACAAAAATAAAGAAGTTTAGTTACAAACATTGGTCTGCAAAGACAGAAGATAAGCTGCAGTAGGATAGACAAATGATGGAGATATACACTCTTTTCCTGCTTCTCTCCACTAAGGACAAGCTGATCTCTTCATGCTGGGGTCAAGTTTACTCGAAGCGGGTAAGTAGCTCTCAGGAAGTAGCTTCTGATAGTGGGAATCAGAAGCCCACTGTGAGTTCTTTCTTTTTCCTTCTGACTAGAAAGACATCCTTCACAGCACCAACTAACCTTTTACAAGTATTTATCTCAAAAAGGCAGTAAAGATATTTGTTTTGGGCTCTTGCCATTGACTAAAACATAATGACCTCACCAGATAAACCACTGTGTACTTTCCAGGAAGTAATATAAAGGATAGCAGTCAAAGAGTAATGGAAGATGAGTCTTATGTTCTCCTCTACGTATAGCAGAGTTGAAAAAGTATCCATCGATGGAAGTCCAGTGGTTGTGAAGTTCTGGTCAGGGCAGCCTGATGTAAAATTGTGAAATCATGATTCCACTTCATATGCCTGTTATATTTTTGAGATCCACAGGACACTTGTGCAATCCCATCCAAAGTTCCCCACAGCCTGCCATTACTCCCCTTTTTCAGATGAATGAACCAAACCTCAGGATGGGCAACTGACTTGCCAAAGTCCTATAAACTCTTACAGATAGCACCAGAACAAGAGCCTAAGCCTTCTGATTCTTTCTATGACTTTCAAATGTATAACAGCTCTTTCTACAGTAGTAGCTGGGTGAAGGACAAGAAATGGGACAAAAATCTGGGTATCAACTTAGTATATACATTTCCCTAATATGCCTTCAGAGACTCACAAAGGGCATATACTCCAAACAATCTTCCTCCATTGAGTAGAAACTATGTGACAAATGTAAAGCACAATAGACCTACGATAGAAGTCCAAACACTGGCATCATACATAGTTGAAAACCTCACCTACAGTAGATAAGAGATACCAGTTCATCACACTGTCCTCTGGTCCTACCCCCAGTCAGTGAGAGAGTCCCTTTTCAATCTGGAGTGAACACCTTACAAGTTTGTACTGGATGAGGGTGGGGAAGTGAGAAAGGGATTATTTCCATGTTCTGCTGCAGCAAGTTCCCTTGTTGTCTGCCTTCGGTTGGGTCTCTGCTAAAATCCAAGCTGGGCTGATGTGTTGACACAGTGGATGCCTACAAAGCTTTTCCTAACACCTAGCTGAGGATATTGAAAGCATAGCAGAGGAACAAGAATCAGTTCATGAATTAGGTTTGATCCAGTGCCTGACCAAGGCAGTATTTCACAGGAAACACTGTCATGCAAAAGAAGCTTTAAGGGCCTTTGGCTCTGGCTCAAACCCAACAGCAAGGAATGCAAATGTTTTGTGAGTAGTTGGAGTAGATAATATCTTTCCGGTAGGGAAAAAAAAAAAAGCATTTGGCAGATCTAGCACCCACAGAGTCTCAGAAAGCAATGTGCTGTTGACCAGACAATTCCAAAACAGACCCTAACCCTGGCAAGGATGAAAGCCAATGATATCTTGTTCCTCCCATCACCCGTTCAAGTTCCTCACCTGCTTCTGGGGAGTTCACAGAGCATACCTATCTTCTTGTGTTGGGGTTAACTAATTTGCTTTTTTATTTAAAAATTTTTTTTAACATTTATTTATTTTTGAGACAGAGAGAGACAGAGCATGAATGGGGAAGGGGCAGAGAGAGAGGGAGACACAGAATCGGAAGCAGGCTCCAGGCTCTGGGCCATCAGCCCAGAGCCTGACGCGGGGCTCGAACTCACGGACCGAGAGATCGTGACCTGAGCTGAAGTCGGACGCTCAACCGACTGAGCCACCCAGGCGCCCCTGCTTTTTTATTTTAATTCTGAAGAAAATCCTACTTGGAACCTAGCATTAAAAATGTAGAAAGTGCAGCACCTGTGTGGCATAGTTGGTTAAGCATCCAACTTCAGCTCAGGTCACGATCTTGCGGTTTGTGAGTTTGAGCCCCATGTCGGGCTCTGTGCTGACAGCTGGGAGCCTGGAGCTTCGGATTCTGTGTCTCCCTCTCTCTCTGCCCCCCCCGCCCCCACTCATGGGCGCACACAAGCGCACGCACGTGCACATACACACACTCTCTCTCTCCAAAATAAATAAACGTTAAAAATCTTTTTAAAAATATAGAAAGTAATAACTTTAATTTAAAAACTTAAAAAATATAGAAAGTGAAAAGCTACCAACTAGTTTTTCAGATAAGGAATTAGAAACTCATAGGTGTCAAAGACTCTTTCCGTGGTCTAGACAATCAGTGGCAAAGCTAACGATAATAAAAGTTATATGTGTATGGTGTTTATTATGCACCACACACTGCAAAGCAGTTCACACAATATTTCTTAAAATTCCATCACAATTCATTTACTTCTGCGAATAAAGAATATGAGAATTTGAGAAGTGAAATCATTTGCCTCAATTACAATAAGCTGCAGTGATGAATTTCAACCCCAAGATAAGATATGAGCAAGCTATGCTTGATGCAGCCTATGTGCTGGGTTACAATTCCAGAGCGCTCAGTTTGCTGACTAGCTCAAGGCCACAGAGCTAGAGAGCTTGTGGTCCCCTAAAGAATTGATCATGGGGTAAAATGTGATGTAGCCTATCTCTTTGTACTATTCTCTGTCTCGTATTCTCTCGTATTCTCTCTCATACTCCCCCTCTCTCTCTTTTTCCCCACTTCCAGTCGTCCTCAAGCCAGCTGGCCTGGATAATTATTAAGTTAAAAAACAAAAAAGAGGGTGGCCTGGGTGGCTCAGTTGGCTGAGTGACTGACTCTCGATTTCAGCTCAGGTTATGATCTCACAGTTTGTGAGACCAAGCCCTGCGCTGGGCTCTGCATTGACATTCTCTCTTTTCCTCTCTCTCTGCCCCTCCTCCACTCGTTCTCCCTCTCCCTCTCCCTCAAAATAAATAAACATTAAAAAAAACAAAAAAAAAGGAATATTCCAGGTATTAAAATTATGTATATTTTCAAACTGCTTCAATACCACCCTTATCTTCATTTCATTTGGAACTCTTCTAATTTTTGATATCATCTAAGATTATCAAGCACCATAAAACATCCTCCATTTTAGAGCCCTTCATTATTTTTGCTTCTGGATCATTCATGGAAAACATAGCTTATCTTGCATAACTCCTCCTCTAAAAAAACCTTCCATGCCTTTTCCTTTGCTCTGGTTTAGTTCGTTACTGTAAGACTGGGTTTTAGGACTCTCCATTATAGACACTCATCCTCCTTCTCGTCCTGACTGTGTCCTATGTGTCCTATGAGTGGATCACAGAGCCAGGCTCTCTGCACTTTGCTTTCCAGATTTGCATACTTCTGATCTCTGAGCTTTCACTTATTCTGTTTCCTCTCAATAGAGTAATAAATACTTCTTTCTCTACTTCCTCTTCCACCACCTCTTTCAGGGAAAGCCCCACACATCTGTCAAACCACATCACACAAAACATCTCCCACATGCAGATTTTTCTGTTCTCATCTTCCCAAAACAGGATTTGCCTCCTTCCTTCTATCAGTTCCCCATAGGACTCTTTTCCCCAGAAGCCAACTCGAAAGACTTTCATGAAGGATTTTTTTTTTCTTTCATAATCAAGCTTTATTGGTTGGAAAATGTGGGATGCTTCACAAATTTGCTTGTCACCCTCCTGCAAGGGCCACACTAATCTGCCCTATATAGTTTCAGTTTTAGTGTATGTGCTGCCCAAGGGAGTATCGCATGAAGGCATTTTATTGGGGAAGCGAAGGAAGCAGGATTGTGCAAAGAAGAAGCTGGGCTGCAATACTGTCTCTACTGGGCACACAGTCAATCCCTTGGGGAGCTCTGGAGCTGCGAGCAAGAGAGTCAGGGACTATACCTCCCTCTGCCCACCAGTCATTGGCTGTGAAGACCTTGGGCAAGGACCACAGAGGGAGTATTTAGCCACGAACTGTCAGCTGTCAGTACTCCTGGGGGAATGAATTACGTCCATCTGAAAAGGATGGAAGACAGGGATAGAAAGGTGAGTGGCACACCACAGTATCCACTACATCGACCTAGAAGGAATTTGTCATTCTCTGCTCTGTAGGTCGTATCTTTGTCTTCTGGAAACTAGCAATAAATATTTCCTCAACATTTTCTGAATTCCCTGTAGCTGTGCGTACAGTGCACAAGAGATGCTGGAGAGATAATTTGCAGAGATAATTTATTTTGTGCTCTTTCACAGAACTTTCACTTGAAAGATATATTAACGAGGTATGTCAGACACACGCTATCTCTATTTTACAGAGGACAAAATTGAGGCGCAGACTGATAATTGGGGTTGGTCAATAACACAGTTAATATTCAAAGTTTCATTGAAAAAACCTAGGTCTCAGGACTTTCAGGCTGATTGTCTTTGCAAAAAAATTAATTAATTAAAAATTTAAAAAAATGTACTCCATAAACCAAAGACAAATAGTAGCTCCAAAAAGGGCTACAGTTGGGTCAACAGTTAATAACCTTGCTCCCTAAACCCCTTCTCAAAAATTCCTGCTTCTGGACCTCCCTGAGGTGCCTCAACTTGATAAGTTATTAGACTCCTTTTTGGCACATATTCACATGCAAAGAGCCAGAGCTTTCAACTGAGATTTAAAACAACCTTGGCTCATTGCCCAGGGCTCATACTGTGGCAACAGCAGAAAGCATTCTCCAAGAATCTTTAAAACAATCGCTATGAGGAACATGACCTGAAGTACAATCCCTGAAGTCATTTTCAGGAGACTTGCCATGGTCATAAAAACAGGTGAAGTCATAAAGACCCTTTTTTAAGACAACAATGTCTCTTCCCTCTCCCATTCTCCTTCCCAGCCCCACCCCCCATAACTACTCTATTAGCTTCACCTGCCCCAAATCATCACCTTAGCAGAGAAAATCACCTGTGATGTGACCTATTTCTAGGAAAACACCAACCCCAGC